GGAGATATTTAAGAGTAGGTTAGATAAATGTCTATCAGGGATGGTCTAGACAGTATTTGGTCCTGCCATGCGGGCAGGGGACTGGACTCGATGACCTCTCGAGGTCCCTTCCAGTCCTATAATCTATGATTCTATGATTCTATGACCTGCACGTTTCCCAGAGTCACTACCCTTGATATCAGCAGGTCTTTGATTGCGTTGGCTACTTTGATCACAGCAGCCCCCACAGTAGATTTGCCCACTGCAAATTGATTCCCGACTGACCAGTAGCGGTCTGGCGTTGCAAGCTTCCAAAGGGCTATCGCCACTCGCTTCTCAACTGTGAGGGCTGCTCTCATCCTGGTATTCTGGCGCTTCAGGGCAGGGGAAAGCAAGTCAAAGTTCCATGAAAGAACCCTTACGCATGCGAAAGTTTCGCAGCCACTGGGAATCGTCCCACACCTGCAACACGATGCGGTCCCACCAGTCTGTGCTTGTTTCCCGGGCCCAGAATCGGCGTTCCATGCCATGAACCTGCCCCAGTAACACCATGATTTGCACATTGCTGGGGCCTGTACTTTGTGAGAAGTCTATGTCCATGTCAATTTCCTCATCACTCTCGTCACCGCGCTACAATCGCCTCCTCGCCTGGTTTTGCTTTGGCATGTTCTGGCTCTGCATATACTCCAGGACAATGCGCATGGTGTTCATAGTGCTCATAATTGCTGCGGTGATCTGAGCGGGCTCCATGATCCCAGTGCTATGGCGTCTGGGCTGAAAAAAGGCGCGAAACTATTGTCTGACGGCGGGAGGGAGGGGTGAGTGACGACATGGCTTACAGGGAATTAAAATCAACAAAGGTGGCTGTGCATCAGGGAGAAATACAAACAACTGTCACACAGAATGGCCCCCCTAAAGATTGAACTCAAAACCCTGGGTTTAGCAGGCCGTTGATTTCACAGAGGGAGGGGGAAGCAAATGAATACAGAACAAATCTGGTCCATCTATTTTTTACATCTTAAGCTGGCAGCAGACGGTGCAGTATGACTGATAGCCATTGGCACCTTCTGGGTGCTTGGCAGAAAATGCTGTATTACGACTGCTAGCCATCATCATCAAGACGGTTCAATAGGACTGCCGGCAGGACTGAGTCTCCAGGAGACAAAACATGTCTGCCCAGGTGCCTCTGAACGAACTCACTGAGGAGTACGACGATGACAGATACCAGTCATAATACACCATCCACTGCCAAAAGGCAAGGAGCTGCTGCTGTGTAACAATGCAGTACCACGTCTGCCGGCACCCAGATGACATATGGTGACGGTGAGCTGAGCTGAGCTGAACGGGCTCCATGCTTGCCGTGGTATGTTGTCTGCACAGGTAACCCAGGTAAAAAGGCGCAAATAGATTGTCTGCCGTTGCTCTGACGGAGGGGGAGGGGCCTGAAGACATGTACCCAGAACCCCCCGCGACACTGTTTTTGCATCATCAGGCATTGGGATCTCAACCCAGAATTCCAATAGGCGGCGGAGACTGCAGGAACTGTGGGATAGCTACCCACAGTGCAATGCTCCGGAAGTCGATGCTAGCCTTGGTACTGTGGACGCGGTCCGCCGACTTAATGCACTTAGAGCATTTTATGTGGGGACACACACAATCGACGGTATAAAACCGATTTCTATAAAACCGGCTTCTATAAATTCGACCTAATTTCGTAGTGTAGACATACCCTTAGTAGGGGAGTCCCCAGTCATGTAGATCTGCCTCCTCCTGGTGGTGGTATGATTCTCAGGCCTACCTCTTGGGCAGCTTTCTCCCCAAGAGGTCAGCTCCTGCTTCACCACAACTTGCCCCCACCCCAGCTGCCCTTGCCTGGAGAGCAGCACCCACAGGGTGGCCAGCTGAGGCACTGGGATGGGCTGTTTCCTGCAGGGAGGGATGGCACCCACCCTGCCCCGGTACCTGGGGGTATCTGCGCTTAATGTTGTTCAGAGTGCCCTCGGGCAGCTTGGCCAGCTCTGTGTCTCTCACGGCATGGACGGTGGTGGCTCGGGGCTGCCTGGTCAGGGCTTCCACCTAGAGAAGAGCACACAGGCCACATTAGAGACTGGGCAGGGGAGTCCTTCGCCCTCCCAGCCCAAGGTCTGCCTGGCATCATAGGGAGAGGCACCGGGAGAGGTACAGAACCCAGGCGTCCTAGCTCTCTGTTCTAACCCACTAGCCCATGGGTGGCCAACCTGTGGCTCCAGAGCCACATGCGGCTCTTCAGAAGTTAATATGTGGCTCCTTGTATAGGCGCCAACTCTGTTAGCTACAGGCACTAACATTCCAATGTGCCAGGGGGTGCTCACTGCTCAACCCCTGGCTCTGCCACAGCTCCTGCCCCCACTCCACCCCTTTCCACCCCCTCTCCTGAGCCTGCCGTGCCCTCGCTCCTCCCTCCTCCCCCAGAGCCTCCTGCACGCCATGAAACAGCTAATCGGGAGGTGGGGGGAGGGAAGGGGAGGCGCTGATCGGCGGGGCTGCCGGTGAGTGGGAGGCGCTGGGAGCGGGCGGGGGACTGATGGGGGGCTGCTGACGTATTACTGTGGCTCTTTGGCAATGCACATTGGTAAATTCTGGCTCCTTCTCGGACTCAGGTTGGCCACCCCTGCACTAGCCCTTCCCAAGCTGGGAAGAGAACCCAGGAGTCTTGATGCCCAGCCCCACCTTCCTCAGACCAGCCCGGAGACTCCTCTGCCAGTCCCCAATACTAGGCCAATCCATGTCCCAGGAGCAGCCAGCAGCGTAAGAGCATAAGGGACAGTCGCTGGCTGGAGGTAGAGTGCCACGTGCTAGCAGCAGAGGGTGACGATCTGCCTCGCACCCAAACCAGGAGGGTCTGGAGAAGCAGGGAATGGACACTGTACCCCCTGGATGCACCCTTGGAGCAGCCTGGCCTGAGCACCCCTGACTTGCAGCTGTTCATCACCACAACAAGCCTAAGAGAGGGCCCACCTACCACCCCAGTGCTGTCTGCAGAGATCGGCCCCATACCCTTGGTGGGAGAGTGCAAAGCAGTGATAGGGCCCACCCCAGCAGTGCCCTCGGAGGAAGCTCACCACTCCAATGAGGTCACCACGACCGTACTCCCCGACCAGCTCCTTCTTGCCACTGCCTTTCTGGATGACAGAGCGCAGGCGCCCATTCAGCACGATGTAGGTGCAGTCGGACTTGTCGCCCTGCCTGGAGAGCACATGCAGCGAGTGGTGAGTCAGCCAGCTGAGCCGGTGTCTGCCCCAGGGAGAGCGCCCCCTACCACCTGGGCTGGGAGAGTGCGTGCAGTGAGCGGCGAGTCTGACAACCCCAGCTGGCACCTGCCCTGGGCTGGGACGCCCCCATCCCCAGAGCACCCGGGCTGCCCTCAATCCAACACCTGCAGCCAGGAAGGGGTTGAAGTCAGGTCAGCCCAGGTGAAAACCTGTGTCCCAGGGAGGGGTCACAGGCACCTGGGCAGTTTTCGCCTGGCCCCTCTGGAAACAGCACGGCTGCTGGCCTGGACAGCGCCCGCCCAGAGCACTGGGATGCCTGAGTCATTTTTGCTGCAGTAAGGGCATGGACGAGGCTGAGAGTAACAGGGGTGCCCATTACCCTGGCGTGGAAGGGGTTAAACACAGCAGGGCGAGTTGGTCCCAGTGTGCCCTGGGCTAGGCAGAGAAGCTGGGAGTCCCCAGCCAGGGTCTCCCAGCAGCCCCACAGTACAGGCCTCACTCACCTGTACAAGGCCCGTCCAGCCTCCACCGCCATCCAGTCGATGGCAAAGTCCATCTGGCGCACGAATGGGGACATGCGGGCGGCCACAGTATGGGCAACACTCAGCACCACACTGGGCTGTTCCCGCATGATCCTGGGGAGAGAGCGGGCAGCTCGTCAGTGCACAGGTGGCCCCGTTGCTGCCAGTGCGCTGCTGACTGCAGCCACCCCCTCCCTGAGTCACCCACCTCCTCTGGAACAGAGCCAGCCAAGAAAACATGGCACCAGGACAGATCACAGCCCAGGGCAGGAGAATCCAGGCCCATGCAACAGGTGCACGATTAGAGGACTAGGACATGGGGCCTTTCCCCTCTAGGGGGCGGCTTCTCCAATCCAGCCCCAGGGCAGGGGATTGGCTGGTTTATGGGG